TGTTCGCTGTAAAACATGTTGATGAAGAATGAACAAATGTGACAAGAAGTTTGTGTGAATGTGTGAAGAGATGTTTATGGGAAACAGCGTTCCTCTCTGAGCTCGGTGGGGTAAACAGTTTGGTGTGTGCAGAAACAGGACAAGCTGCTGAGGATGAAGAAAAAAGCAGGCTCGTTCCCTCCCTCCCTCACAGATGTTGGGAAACTCGTGCTGAAAGCAGAGCCTGCAGATAGAAAACGTGAGGAAGACTCTCTGCACGCTCAGAAGGGAGCGACGATGGTCCGGCTTGGTGATCGGCGCCGTGGCGATGGATTTCAGCCGTGGAGGCAATAATGAGGCTCACTCGTCCTGATCGTTTGATTTTTGAAGAAGCTTTCTTTAAAACGTGTCAAAAAACAAAAAGCTTTTTCTGCAAAACTTTACAGCACAAACTTTACGAGGAGCCGCAGGGAGACGAGCAGCTTTTATCTCCGCAGAAACACTAAGAGAAACTCTGACGTCTCTAAAGTTGCAGCTTGTGTGGAGATCACAGACTTTTAAATTTAACCAAGCTTTAACAGGAAGCCCAGAGGTGGATGTGCTGATTCTGCTGCCACAACAATACAAAGATTTGCACACCGTCGTCTCAGAGAGAGACAGCAGCACTGATGCTAACCTTCAGTTGGTTTCACCGCGGTTTGGACGGTAGTTCGAAACTGGACCAAAGGAAAACATGAACACAACCTTCATCCAAGCTTTAAAGTGTGAAATATCTCAAATATCTCAGCCAACGTAAGCTGTGGCATGAAGATGTGGAAAATAAGGGATGAACGCTGAGTCCAAGCGTCCTCTTTCTGTAACTGGACTGCAGAGTTTGGACTGAGCGCTGTTTCCGACTGAAAGTTACGCCCGAGCAGAACCTCACCTGCACCCTTCCTTAAAGACGCTGTCATGACTCGATCGTAGCCGACTCTCTCGCAGAAATACTGGCGTGAGTGTTCGGACCGTTGACTCTCTGCTGGCTTCAACTAGAGATGGTTACCCCGCAGCCAAACAAGCCGCACGTGTGCCTGACGGCGGTCCTCATCGTGACCAGCCTGGCGCTCATAGACGCCTACCTGGTGGAGCAGAATCCGGGTTCCCGGAGGCTCGCTGTGTGTGTCACCGTGTTGGCGAGCGACGCGTGTTTCCTCATCGTCCTTCGATACGTGGCCGTCTGGGCCGGGTCAGAGGTGCACACCGCGAGGCGAGGCTATGCCATGATGCTCTGGTTCTTCTACATCTTTGTCTTGGAGATCAAGGTCTACTTTGTTTATCAGAACTACAAGTCCCAGGACGCAGGTGTGGAGGTGGTGGATGTAGGCGTGTCCCGGAGAGGTCTTACGCTGCTGCTGTCCATCTGCATGCCCGTTGTGTTCGTAACGCTGGCTGCGATCGATCACCTGGAGTACTTGCGACCATACAAAAAGAGAGAGGAGATACGGAGCCGCCTGTTCTGGGTGGTGCTGGACCTGCTGGATGTCGTGGATGTTCAGGCGAACCTGTGGGAGCTTCAAAGCGAAGGACTCCCTCTGTGGGTGGAGGGTTTGATGTTCTTCTACTGCTACATCCTCCTGCTGGTGCTGCCGTGCGTCTCCCTGAGCGAGATCAGCATGCAGGGCGTGAACATCGTCCCCCACAGAATGATGCTCTATCCCATCCTCAGCCTCGCCACCATCAACATCATCACCCTCCTGATCCGCTCGGGAAACCTGCTGGTCTACGGGGACATCCGAGTGTCGGGGATCATGATGGGAAAGAATGTGATCGCCATCGTGATGAAGAGCTGCAGCCTGCTGCAGTACAGGAAACACCAGCCGGCGGCTCCTCCGGCGGATCGGGGCGCCGAGATCCAGAAGAACTCTGAGGAGGAGGTTCAGGTGTACGGCGGGCAGCACGCGGGGCTGCCCAGAGTCGTGATTGAGGACTTCACCAGCATCCCAGAAGAGGAGGAAGAGGATGAAGAAGGCGAGGAGGGCGGTGCTGATGTCAGTCAACAAGAGGTGAGCTTGAATGGCGATGAGATAAAAGAAGGAGAAACCCAACTGAAGCGCCGGGACTCGACTGGTTTGGGATAAACGAGCATCTGCGGTGCCGTGGAGAAACTCAGCGGCAGTCCCAGAATCCAACATGTTCCCACTGCGTCGCTGTAAAACTGAGCAACAGGTTTCTTCAGATTCTTGTTTATGAACTCAAACGTTTCTAAGGAAAGGTCGTTTCTGTTGTTGATTGTCCTGCTCTCGCTCTGATATAAAAACAATTTCACTTAAAACTGAGTAGAAATCTTCTTGTTCACACAGATTTATGGTGGGGATGTAAAATTCATTTTTAGAGTGCTGAATTTAAACCTGTCACACGTCTCTGAGAACCAGTCACTTAGAAAAGCTTCTTCTAACGCTTGTTGGCAGATTGATGCTGCTCTCGTGTCTGTGAGCAGACATGAAGTAGAGCAGATTTGGGCTCTGATGTAATCTTAGAGACTAGCTCAGCCTGTTAGGTCCATAAACAGAAACACAAATCCAAGCGAACCCTTCCTCGTGTCAGTGTTGAAGCCGCACAGCAGCTCCTCGGCACAAAGAGAAGATATCGTGGATGAAAATGATGATTCTTCACTGCTGAGGAGACGATGCTGGAGCTTTTACCTGGTGTGCTTCCACACATTACACTTATAAAGATACGGGTGTGTTGAGTAAAGGAGCGAGGGAGGTGGCGTCGTCACCTGAACAGGTGTAATCTCAGTTTCTGGACACTTTTCAGAGTTTGGTGAAGAAGTTGTTTCTCAGGATGTTCATAAATTATGAGCAACAGACTCAGCGACACGACCAGCAAACGGCTGACAAGGCTCCGTCCATCATCATGTAACTCAGGGCTGAGGTGACTGTGCTGCTTTTGTTGATGACTCATATTTGGAAAAGAAAACTAATAAAATGACTAAAATACAATTTGAAGCCAGAATGCTTTGAAAGCAAAGCAGCTTTGTGGTCAGTCTAAAAGTTTCCTGTTTGCAGACCCTTCGTTTTATCTGCCTTCAGGTCTGACTTTAAGTTTTTTCCCTCTTATTTCAAAGCCAGTGCACAAACATGTAAACAGAAGCATTCCTGCAGTGCGCCAATGTGGCCACAAGATGGAGCCAGACCTCACACATTAAATAAAGTCATCGTCAGGTAAAGGACAAATTAAAAAAGAAGAAAAAGCAAATTAAAATGTGATGGTGATGATATTTCAGGCAGAAAAACACTGGCAGGAAACTGCTTGTTTTTCTTTCTTGCTGTGCAGCTTCGTAAAGCTACAGACACGTACGAGCACGTTTGTGCTGTTTCTCTGCTCTGTTTAAATGTGCTGCTGGAACAATCGCAGTAATTATCACACAGAGGCTACACTGAGACCACTGAGTTCATTTTTAAACTCTAATTTACCCCCCTCAACCCTGCCATCAAACACTCACACAGATGTAACTATAAAATGTTATATTTCCTAAACACATCCAAACAGTTTACAGCATCAGAGGTTGACACAACAGGACTGAAGTCGTCGCTGACGTCCATCAGCAGGTCCTCAGCTTTGCTGTGTCCTTCACTATCAGTCCTCACTTCTAATATGAAGGAAAGCAGTCAGTGAGAGGACGTGATCTTCTTTTTGACCTACTTTCCCTGCAGATCAGGGTTCAGCAAGAAACTTGGTTGTTTGTGGTGTGATGAGCATGAAGTAAACTGTCTGCATGTGCTTTAGC